TAGGGGCTTATGAATATAAAAATCTTGAGGGCAGCAACTGATGAACTCTCCACTGAAATTGAACACATAAACTTCAAATCTCTAATTAGACTAAATTCATGCTCTTCAAGTCTCCAGCAATACTGACCACATGCGCTTCAAAACTTGAGTGTAACTAAATGCATGCTCTTCAGTGACTGGCTGTCTCTCCTTGAGCCCCTCAAGTTCTCCTTTCCCTTCAGCAGACTCCGACAGACTCTCTTTTAGTAGCCTACACCTCCATATTAGTAACAGAGCCCTGTACCTGAATATTATTTGTGAGGGAAGGGTAGCCTGAGACGTCCTCCCAAGTGGCACTTTGATTCTCACTGTTACTAGGGTCACTGTATCCATCTTGGATAGCTATATCGGAGAGGTTATAAGCTGCACTCATTCTTCCATCTCCAACAGACGGGACCTGTTTTCTTTTTTTGAAACAAACTGGCATCAATAATGGGGTCCATCTTACTGATGTGGTTTGTACTTCCATATGCATTTCTCAGGGTAGATGGAATCCCGGATGAGCCCCCAAGTGAAAGGCTACCCCCTCTTAGAGAGCTTCTTCATAGATGGTCATTTTGTCACTCCTAGTAATAATATCTCATCCTGTACCTGGACCTGAACAACACACCAGAAACAGTGACACACCAGAAACAGTTGAAATTGTCTTTCAATATATTACAGGAGATGGTCAGCCGCAGGCATACATACAAGAGATGGTCAGAGACTGCAGAAAAACTACAGAGATGATGGTCAGAGACTGCAGACATAGTACAGGAGATGCAGACATATATTGCTGACGTGGTTAAGAAGCTGAACCCCCAATTATCAGTCCATATCCCGGCCCGGTCACTACCTCCTGGGAGTTTGGGTCTACACTAGCACAGTAGGTCTCTGTCTAGAGTTTGGGGGGTTTGTGGTTTTCCTTGTTTGTTATCATCAGACTGTTCTTGGTACATCCTATTTATCAATACAATCAGCATTGCTTGAGTTGGTGTCTCTTTATTGATTGTCAGGGGTGTGTCCGAGTGCTACACATACAGCCAATCAGGCGTCCTCACACCAGGTTAGGCTCAGAGGGGGTTTCTCTACAGCGCCTCCTACAGGGGTGCACTACACTACCTCATCATGCATACATGTACTAATGAGGGCAATTTAGAAATGAGCCGATTAACCTCCCAGCATGTCTGTGGAGTGTGGGAGAGAACCGGAGTACCCGGAGGAAACCAATGCAAGAACATACCTTAGTGGTTAGTGGCTTTGCACCGGGCGGCACAGTGGCTTAGTGGCTAGCACTTCTGCCTTGCAGTAGTTGATTCATGGGTTCAAATCCCATGGCATCTCCTGTATGGAGTTTGCATGTTCTCCCTGTGCTTGCGTGGGTTTCCTCCGGGTACTCCGGTTTCCTCCCACATTCCAAAGACATGCTGATAGGTTAATTGGCTCCTTTCTAAATTGTCCCTAGTAGGAACCTTAGGCTCTAAGCATCTGAGGGCAGGACTGATGTAAAAATGTGAGGTATAGGTCAATTGTCAGCACTTAATGATAACTTAGAAGTACAACTGTAAGTGTAAAAACTGATCAAATAATAGAAACATCAAACATGATCAGTATACAGGCTAGCACCTCATACCTCCAATGGAAGCACTTCAAGAAAACTCAAGCACTTCAATACCCCAGCCAAACTAGATGCATGCCCCAGAGGGCAATGTACACACTCAAAACTCCAGCTAAACACAAGCACTTAAAATGTCCAGCTATACTAAAATGCATCCCCCAGAGGGCGATGCTTGCTCTTCTGTCAAGGCACTTAGATCCCCCTATCAGTCCCAATGCAAAAACATCACAGCAGCCCCAAATTCGGTTCCTTTTAAAAACAAAAAAAATAAACAGGAGACGGTCAGAGACTGCAGATGTCCCACAGGACCAATATAACTATTTATATTCCATATCTGTGAGAAAATGTAAAGTGATCTCTGATTGGTGCCCGTCCCCCAATGGCTGACCTCCTGTGTTCACAATGCAGCAGGACAACCGCTCGGTACAGGACCTGGAAGATAGTGGAGGTCATTGTAGTAACGAGGTCTACTTCAGTGATTTCCAGCTTCTAGACGGATCCCACAGGTAGGTCACATACATACTTATACTGGTCCAAGCTGGAACAATGGAACCATGGAACATACAGTTAGGTCCATATATATTTGGACAGAAGAACAATTTTTTATTTTTTCAGGTATTTACCAAAACATAATCAAGTTACAGTTCTATGATGGATATGGGCGGACAGTGCGCACTCTCAGGTGTAATTTGAGGGTATGTACATCCACATTGGGGGAAGGGTTTAGGAATTGCAGCTCTTAAGAGTAGCCATCCCCCCTTTTTCAAGGGACCAAAAGTAATTGGACAATTGAATCAGAAGCTGTTTCATGGCCAGGTGTGGGCTACTGCTTCCTTATTTCTTCATTTAGGTTCAAGGTAAAAGATCTGGAGATAATTCTAATGTGGTATTTGCATTTGGAATCTATTGCTGTGAACCGACATCATGCGTTCATAGGAGCTGTCCATGCAAGTTAAACAGGACATTGTAAAGCTTCAAAAATGAAACAAATCCATCAGAGAGATCGCAGCAACATTAGGAGCGGCCAAATCAACAGTTTGGTCCATTCTGAGGAAAGAAGAACGCACTGGTGAGCTCAGCAACAGAAAAAGGCATGGAGGTCCACGGAAGACAACAGTGGTGGATGATCGCAGGATCCTCTCTATGGTAAAGAAAAACCCATTCACAACATCTAGCAACAACATCATTGTCAAAGTCTCCAAACAAGAGAAGATTTTACGAGAGCAAATACAGAGGGTTCACCACAAGGTGCAAATACAGAGGGTCACCACAAGGTGCAAATACAGAGGGTTCACCACAAGGTGCAAACCATTCATAAGCCTCATGAATTAGACTTTGCCAAAAAAAAAAAACTAAAAAAGCCGGACCAGTTCTGGAAAAGCATTCTTTGGACGGAAGAAACTAAGATGAATCTGTACCAGAATGATGGGAAGAAAAAAGTGTGGAGAAGGCTTGGAACAGCTCATGATCCAAAGCACACAACGCCATCTGTAAACCATGGTGGAGGCAGTGTGATGGCATGGGCGGAGGCGGGGTGATGGCATGGGCGGGGGCAGTGTGATGGCATGGGCGGAGGCGGGGGGTGATGGCATGGGCGGAGGCAGTGTGATGGCATGGGCGGAGGCAGTGTGATGGCATGGGCGTGGAGGCAGTGTGATGGCATGGGAGGCAGTGTGATGGCATGGTGGAGGCGGGGTGATGGCATGGGCGGAGGCAGTGTGATGGCATGGTGGAGGAGGCAGTGTGATGGCATGGGTGGAGGCAGTGTGATGGCATGGGTGGAGGCAGTGTGATGGCATGGGTGGAGGCAGTGTGATGACATGGGTAGAGGCAGTGTGATGGCATGGGTGGAGGCAGTGTGATGGCATGGGCGGAGGCAGTGTGATGGCATGGGTGGAGGCAGTGTGATTGCATGGGCAGAGGCAGTGTGATGGCATGGGCGGAGGCAGGGTGATGGCATGGTGGAGGCAGTGTGATGGCATGGGTGGAGGCAGTGTGATGGCATGGGTGGAGGCAGGGTGATGGCATGGGTGGAGGCAGGGTGATGGCATGGGCGGAGGCAGTGTGATGGCATGGGTGGAGGCAGTGTGATGGCATTGGTGGAGGCGGTGTGATGGCATGGGCATGCATGGCTTCCAGTGGCACTGGGTCATTGGTGTTTATTGATGATGTGAAAGAAGACAGAAGCATCCGGATGAATTCTGCCGTGTTTACAGATATACTGTCAGCCCAGATTCAGCCAAATGCAGCAAAGATGATTGGACGGCACTTCACAGTACAGATGAACAATAATCCAAAACACACTGCAAAAGCAACCCAGGAGCTTGTGAAGGAAAAGAAGAGGAATATTCTGCAATGGCTGAGTCAGTCACCTGATCTCAACCCCGTTGAGCATGCATTTCACTTGCTGAAGGCAAAAAAAAGGCAGAAAGACCTACAAACAAAGAACAACTGAAGTAGCTGCAGTTAGAGCCTGACAAAGCATCAGAAAGGAGGAAACCCAGTCTTTGGTCATGTCCATGGGTTCCAGACTTCAGGCAAAGCATCAGAAAGGAGGAAACCCAGTCTTTGGCCATGTCCATGGGTTCCGGACTTAAGCAAAGCATCAGAAAGGAGGAAACCCAGTCTTTGGTCATTCCAGACTTCAGGCAAAGCATCACAAAGGAGCTGGGGCGGACTGACAACTCATGGGGCCCCCGGGCAATAGGGGATCATGGGGCCTCTCTGTCCTTGACCAAACTCAAAAAAGCCTATGAAAAAGGTACCAGGGGCATCTCATGGGGCCCCCTACTGACCACGGGCCCTCAGGCAGTGCAAGTTTCCAAATAGTCAGTCCGCCCCTGGAAAGGAGGAAACCCAGTCTTTGGTCATGTCCATGGGTTCCAGACTTCAGGCAAAGCATCAGAAGGAGGAAACCCATCTTTGGTCATGTCCAATGGGTTTTATTTATGGGGACTTCAGGCAAACATTGCCAGAAAAGGATTCTCAACAAAATGTATAAAAATGGGCATTTTATTTATGATTATATTCATTCAACCCCCCAATGGGCTGAGCAGTCATTTGAGTTTCAGGGAATTGGTGGCATAAAAATGGTTGCAGTCTGTGCCTTAAAAATGTGACACAAGATGGTCAAAGACTGCAGCCATATTGCAATGTTGCATGGGTGGAGCCGGGTGAAAATAAATTGGAGCCCTAAAATTTGTCATGGATGTTCAAACCCCCTTGAATTAAAGCTGAAAGTCTGCACTTCAAATTCATTTGGATTGTGTTCGTTTTAATTTGCAGTCTGGTGGCATACAGAGCCAAATGTATGAAAACAGAATGCCTGTGTCAAATATATATGGACCCAACTGTATTACACAAGATGGTAAGAGACTGCAGACATACTACAGGAGATGGTCAGAGACTGCAGACATACTTTCAGGAGATGGTCAGAGACTGCAGACATAGTACAGGAGATGGTCAGAGACTGAAGCCATACTACAGGAGATGGTCAGAGACTGCAGACATAGTACAGGAGATGGTCAGAAGACTGAAGACATATTGCACAGGAGATGGTCAGAGACTGCAGAAAATAGTACAGGAGATGGTCAGAGACTGCAGACTTATATACAGGAGATGGTCAGAGACTGCAGACATGCTCAGTACAGGAGATGGTCAGAGACTGGGATACTACAGGAGCAGACAGAGACTGCAGAGACAGAAGATGGTCAAGACTTATTGCATCAGAGATGGTCAGAGACAGACAGGTTAGTACAGGATACTTGGTGGTTAAGCTGAACCCCCAATTATCAGTCCATATCCCGGCCCGGTCACAGTCTTCAGGGAGTTTTGGGTCTACACTAGCACAGTAGGTCTCTGTCTAGAGTTCGGGGGGTTTTGTGGTTTTCCTTGTTTGTTATCATCAGACTGTTCTTGGTACATCCTAAGCTGGTCAATACAGTCAGCATTGCTTGAGTTGGTGTCTCTTTACTGACATGTCAGGGGTGTGTCCGAGTGCTACACATACAGCCAATCAGGCGTCCTCACCCAGGTTAGGCTCAGAGGGGGTTTCTCTACAGCCCTCAGCGACTGCAGACACCTCACATGCAGGGGTGTGTAATTTACCAATCACAGCAGATTGCCTAGAGCATGTCTACACGAGGGGGTCAAATTGTATAAATGAGCCGATTAGATTCCAGCAATTAGCCTTCCAACATGTCTGGACTGGGGAGAGAACCAGAGTACCCGGAGGAAATTTATAAGAACCGATTAACCTTAGTGTTTGGAGCCAATCTGCAGGGGATGGCACAGTGGCTTAGTGGCTAGCAGAGGAAACTTGCAGTAGTTGATTCATGGTTCAAATCCCATGGCATCCCTGTATGGAGTTTGCATAGCACCTGTGCTTGCGTGGGTTTCAGAGACTGCAGACTGTTCAGTTTCCTCCCACATGCCAAAGACATGCTGATAGGTTAATTGGCTCCTATCTAAATTGTCCCTAGTAGGAACCTTAGGCTCTAAGCATCTTGAGGGCAGGACTGATGTAAATGTGAGGTATAGGTCAATTGTCAGCACTTAATTACTTAGTCAGTACAACTGTAAGTGTAAAAACAAATGAAACCAGGAATCAGTATAGACTACATCCTGGGAGTTTTGGATCTACACTAACAGTAGGTCACTGAAAGATGTCTAGAGTAAGGGGTGTTTGTGGAAGCACTCAATGTCAGACAATCTAAATTTCTAACCAAAGAAAACACAAGCACTTACAATTTATTACCTGAACAAAATGCATGCCCCAGGAAGGCACTTAATGTGAGATCAGACTGTCTTGGTAATCCAGAAATCAATACAGTCAGCCCCTTGAGTTCGGTGTCTTTTTAAAAAATGATTGTCAGGGGTGTGTCAGAGACGAGTGCTACACATACAGCCAATCAGGCGTCCTCACTCCAGGTTAGGCTCAGAGGGGGTTTCTCTACAGCGCCTCCTACAAGGGTGCACTACACTACCTCACATGCATACATGTACTAACGAGGGGCAATTTATAAATGACCGATTAACCTTCCAGCATGTCTGTGGACTGTGGGAGAGAACCGGAGTACCCGGAGGAAACCAGGCAAGAACATAGCTTAGTGGTTAGCCAATCTGCATGGGGCGGCACAGTGGCTTAGTGGCTAGCACTTCTGCCTTGCAGTAGTTGATTCATGGGTTCAAATCCCATGGCATCTCCTGTATGGAGTTTTGCATGTTCTCCCCCGTGCTTGCGTGGGTTTCCTCCGGGTACTCCAGTTTCCTCCCACATTCCAAAGACATGCTGGTAGGTTAATTGGCTCCTATCTAAATTGTCCCTAGTAGGAAACCTTAGGCTCTAAGCATCTTGAGGGCAGGACTGATGTAAATGTGAGGTATAGGTCAATTGTCAGCACTTAATGATAACTTAGAAGTACAACTGTAAGTGTAAAAACTGATCAAATAATAGAAACATCAAACACTGATCAGTATACAGGCTAGCACCTCATACCTCCAATGGAAGCACTTCAATGTGACAGACAATCTAAATGTATGCCTGACTGAAACTCTAACCAAAGAAAACACAAGCACTTACAATAATTACTGAAAAAATGCATGCCCCAGAGGGCGATGCTGCACTTGTGAGAAGGCACTTAGATCCCCAATCAGTCCCAATGCAGAAACATCGCAGCAGCCCCAAATTCGGTTCCTTTTAAAAAATGTCAGGAGACGGTCAGCTGCAGATGTCCCACAGGACCAATATAACTATTTATATTCCATATCTGTGGGATCCTCTAGAAGCTGGAAATCGCAGTATAGACACCAGTGATCTCCACTAACTTCCGGCTCCCGTACGATCGACTGCACTAATAGAATTCTCACTAATAAAGTCCTTTGGGAACCTAAATTGAGAAGAGTTCTTGTGTGAATACTATCAGCTTGAACAGGTACCACAGGCGAGAGGAATATCAGCTTGACTGAACTTTACCAAAAACAGGTGAAGTAGCTGGTCTCCTTGTCTGGACTTGTATCCTTCTTCTTCTACAAAGCCTTGTATCCGATGACAATTTGAACGTTGGTGGAGATCTCTCTCTCGAATGGCGGCACTCGATAAGGAGGTGCCTTAAGTGTCTCTTTGAAGTATCAGGTGAGAGTCTTCTCAAGGCTCAGTCCTTCCCCTCTTTTTTCTAGTATTATTTCTCGGATAGAAGCTATTTGAAGTAGTCAACAACCTGACCGGCTCTCTCACCTGGAGTCCTCTGAAGTTTCTCTACCACTTCTGCAAGTTCTCCTTTCCCTTCCACAGATGCAGACAAACTAGTGGCTTTCACCTCCATAATTGTACCTGTTACCTTCTTTGTGGGCGTACTTTGAGACATCCTCCCAAGTGGCACTGTGATTCTCACTGCTACTAGGGTCACCATCTCCATTTATGAAGACACCCGGCATGGCTACCTCTGAATGGATACTAGCTGTACTCATTTGTTCATGTCCAACAGACTGTATCTGTTCTTTGCATGAACTGGAATCAGGGATGGGGTCTATCTTACTGAGTTTGCTTGTACTTTCAAATGCAATAATCAGGGTCAGAATTAATCCCGGATGAGCCCCCACATGCAGAGCTACTTCTCTAGGAGCAGCATGATAGATGGGTCCCCCCAGTGATAACCCACCCTGTACCTGGACCCGACAACCACTGACACACCCCAGAAACAGGTGAAATTTGGTCTTTTTAGATATCCTGCAGATATATTACAGAAGATAGAGAATGCAGACATACTACTGGAGATGGTTAGAGACTGCAGCCATACTACAGAAGATGCTTCTAGTCTAAGGTTCCTACCTCACATCCATACATATACTAGGGGTAGTTTAGACAGGAGCCAACTATACTACCACCATGCCTTTGGAGATTTGGATAAAACTGGAGTTCGTGGAGGAAACAATGCAAGCACAGTAGCTTAGTGGCTAGGCTTTCTGCAATGGGTGGTGCAGTGGCTTTAGTGGCTAGCACTTTCCACCTTGCAGAACTTGGGTCATGGGTTTAGATCCTGACCTTAACACTACCTACATGGAGTTTGCATGTTATCCTTTATTGCAAGGGTTTCCTCCCACACTTCAAGGACATGCTGGTAGTTTAATTGGCTCCTGACTAAATTCCCCCTAGTACATATGATGTAGGGGCTTATGAATATAGAAATCTTGAGGGCAGCAACTGATGAACTTTCCACTGAAAATTGAACACAAACTTCAAATCTCAATCTGGACTAAATTCATGCTCTTCAAGTCTCCAGCAATACTGACCACATGCGCTTCAAAAATTGAGTGTAACTAAATGCATGCTCTTCAGTGACTGGCTGTCTCTCCTTGAGCCCCTCAAGTTCTCCTTTCCCTTCAGCAGACTCCGACAGACTCTCTTTTAGTAGCCTACACCTCCATATTAGTAACAGAGCCCTGTACCTGGAATATTATTTGTGAGGGAAGGGTAGCCTGAGACGTCCTCCCAAGTGGCACTTTGATTCTCACTGCTACTAGGGTCACTGTATCCATTTTTCAAGACGCCTGTGTCTTCAGCATAGCTATATTCGGAGTGGACAAAAGCTGCACTCATTCCTCCATCTCCAAAGACAGAACCCGTTTTTGATTTTAGCATGAACTGGTATCAGTGATGGGGTCCATATTACTGATGTGGCTTGAACTTTAGATGCAATTATCAGGGTAGAAGGAATCCCGGATGAGCCCCCAGATATAGTGCTCCCTCTTTAGGAGTTGCTTGATAGATGGGTCATTTTGTCACTTCCAATGATAACCCTCCCTGGACCCGACAACCAATGACACACAAGAAACAGTTGGAATGGTCTGTCGAAATATTCTGCAGATATATTAGAGAATAGAGAGAATGCAACCATACTACAGGAGATGGTCATAGACTGCAGACATAGTACAGAGATGGTCAGAGACTGCAGACATACTATACAGATGGTCAGAGACTGCAGACATACTACAGGAGATGGTCAGAGACTGCAGACATACTACAGAGATGGTCATAGACTGCAGACATACTACAGGAGATGGTCAGAGACTGCAGAAATACTACAGGAGATGGTCAGAGACTGCAGACATACTACAGGAGATGGTCAGAGACTGCAGACATTACTACAGGAGATGGTCAGAGACTGCAGACATAGTACAGGAGATGGTCAGAGACTGCAGACAGAATAGTACAGGAGATGACCAGAGACTGCAGGCATACAACAAGAGATGGTCAGACTGCAGACATAGTACAGGAGATGGTCAGAGACTGCAGACATAGTACAGGAGATGACAGACAGGACTGATGACAGAGACTGCGGACTAGTACAATAGGAGATGGTCAGAGACTGCAGACATAGTACAGGAGATGCTTATTGCTGACGTGGTTAAGCTGAACCCCCAATTATCAGTCCATATCCCGGCCCGGTCACTACCTCCTGGGAGTTTTGGGGTCTACACTAGCACAGTAGGTCTCTGTCTAGAGTTCGGGGGGTTTGTGGTTTTCCTTGTTTGTTATCATCAGACTGTTCTTGGTACATCCTATTTATCAATACAGTCAGCATTGCTTGAGTTGGTGTCTCTTTATTGATTGTCAGGGGTGTGTCCGAGTGCTACACATACAGCCAATCAGGCGTCCTCACCCCAGGTTAGGCTCAGAGGGGGTTTCTCTACAGCGCCTCCTACAGGGGTGCACTACACTATCTCAGGCATGCAATTTAGAAAGGTGCTGACTAACATTCCTTCCAGCATTTCTGTGGACTGTGGGAGAGAACCGGAGTACCCGGAGGAAACCAGTGCAAGAACATACCTTAGTGGTTAGCCCTTCTGCAGGGGGCGGCACAGTGGCTTAGTGGTTAGCACTACTCTGCCTTGCAGTAGTAAGTCATGGGTTCAAATCCCATGGCACGTCTCCTGTATGGAGTTTGCATGTTCTCCCTTTGCTTGCGTGGGTTTCCTCCGGGTACTCCGGTTTCCTCCCACATTCCAAAGACATGCTGGTAGGTTAATTGGTCTCCTGTCTAAATTGTCCCTAGTAGGAACCTTAGGCTCTAAGCATCTTGAGGGCAGGACTGATGTAAATGTGAGGTATATAGGTCAATTGTCAGCACTTAATGATGACTTAGCAGTACAACTGTAAGTGTAAAAACTGATCAGAATAGAAACATCAAACATGATCAGTATACAGGCTAGACCTCATACCTCCAATGGAAGCACTTCAACACAGCTCAAGCACTTCATAGCAACAGACAATCTATATGCGTGCCTGAGAGGGCAATGTATGCACTGAGATCTCCAGCCAAAACACAAGCACTTACAATAATAACTTGAACAGAATGCATGCCCCAGAGGGCGATGCTGCACTTGTGAGAAGGCACTTAGATCCCCCAATCAGTCCCAATGCAGAAACATCGCAGCATCCCCAAATTCGGTTCCTTTTAAAAATACAACAGGAGACGGTCAGAGACTGCAGATGTCCCACAGGACCAATATAACTATTTATATTCCATATCTGTGGGATCCTCTAGAAGCTGGAAATCGCAGTATAGACACCAGTGATCTCCACTAACTTCCGGCTCCCGTACCGATCGACTGCCTGCCGCATTGTGAACACAGAAGGTCGGCCACTGGGCACAGGTGCCATTTAGTGACCCCTCTTTGCATTACCTCCATGAAAGCAAAGCATTTTCTGATTGGACAATTTAGAGAGCGTGACAACACTGTGTGCCTCTCCACCTCTTCCAATCAGAAAGCCCTCTGCATTCATTGAGAAAACCCCATCCACTACTCTACTGACACCATCCTCTCCTCTAATGAGACCGTTCTTTGCCCCACTGACACCATGCTCTAATGAGACCGTTCTTTGCCCCACTGACACCATGCTCTGCCCTACAGACACTGACACCGTCTTCTGCCCTACTGCTATGGTATACTACTCTACTGACACTGTCCACTGCTCTACTGACACCGTCCTCTTCCCCACTGACACTGTCTTCTGCCCCATAGACACTGCCCACTGCCTTACTGACACTGTCCAGTACTCTACTGAAACCTTTTTGATGAACTGAACTGAGCGGTGTTGTGGAGAGGTAAGTACTTTACACACTTCTTTTACAGGTACAGCTTTTCTAAGGAACTCTAGAACAATGTCAGGGTTACTTTATATTCCATCTAAATAATAAGCAGCAAAATGATGTGTAGCCTGACAGCTTGAGCTACAGTTAACCATGACATGGGTACGTCTCTTCTCTCCTTCTTTAGGGTAGGTACGTTAGGTGCTTGTAATAGAATTCTCACTAATAAAGTCCTTTGGGCACCTAAATTGAGAAGAGTTCTTGTGTGAATACTATCAGCTTGAACAGGTACCACAGGCGAGAGGAATATCAGCTTGACTGAACTTTACCAAAAACAGTTGAAGTAGCTGGTCTCCTTGTCTGGACTTGTATCCTTCTTCTTCTACAAAGCCTTGTATCCGATGACAATTTGAACGTTGGTGGAGATCTCTCTCTCGAATGGCGGCACTCGATAAGGAGGTGCCTTAAAGTGTCTCTTTGAAGTATCAGGTGAGAGTCTTCTCAAAGGCTCAGTCCTTCCCCTCTTTTTTCTTGCATTATTTCTCGGATAGAAGCTATTTGAAGTAGTCAACAACCTGACCGGCCTCTCACCTGGAGTCCTCTGAAGTTTCTCTACCACTTCTGCAAATTCTCCTTTCTCTTCCACAGATGCAGACAAACTAGTGGCTTTCACCTCCATAATTGTACCTGTTACCTTCTTTGTGGGCGTACTTTGAGACATCCTCCCAAGTGGCACTGTGATTCTCACTGCTACTAGGGTCACCATCTCCATTTATGAAGACACCCGGCATGGCTACCTCTGAATGGATACTAGCTGTACTCATTTGCTGTTCATGTCCAACAGACTGTATCTGTTCTTTGCATGAACTGGAATCAGGGATGGGGTCTATCTTACTGAGTTTGCTTGTATTTTCAAATGTAATAATCAGGGTCAGAATTAATCCCGGATGAGCCCCCACATGCAGAGCTACTTCCCTAGGAGCAGCATGATAGATGGGTCCCCCAGTGATAACCCACCCTGTACCTGGACCCGACAACCACTGACACCCCAGAAACAGGTGAAATTGTCTTTTGATATCCTGCAGATATATTACAGAAGATAGAGAATGCAGACATACTACTGGAGATGGTTAGAGACTGCAGCCATACTACAGAAGATGCTTATAGTCTAATGTTCCTACCTCACACCCATACATGTACTAGGGGTAATTTTACAGGAGCCAACTAACTACCATCATGCCTTTGGAGATTTGGAGGAAACTGGAGTTCCTGGAGGAAACCAATGCAAGCACAGTAGCTTAGTGGCTAGGCTTTCTGCAATGGGTGGTTCAGTGGCTTTAATGGCTAGCACTTCCGCCTTGCAGAACTTGGGTCATGGGTTTAGATCCTGACCTTGACACTACCTACATGGAGTTTGCATGTTATCCCTATACTTGCAAGGGTTTCCTCCCACACTTCAAGGACATGCTGGTAGTTTAATTGGCTCCTGACTAAATTCCCCCTAGTACATATGATGTAGGGGCTTATGAATATACAGTAACCCCTTGGGATTACGTGGAGTTTTGCATGAATTGGGCATAAAATGCGCTCTGAACGTCATCTAAGTCACAACAATAGAAGAACCAGTCTGCTGAACTCATAACTACTACACAAACATTAGATGTTGCCAGCCTTTGGAATTGCACATAACAGTAAACATTCACAGTGCAGGGAGGAAAAAGTATGTGAGGCCCTAGCTTAATGACTTCTCCCAGAGCTAATTGGAGCCAGGAGTGAGCCAACCTTGACTCCAATCATGTGATGATGGATGTGTTGTGACAGCTGTCCTGCCCTTAAAAAACACACACCTGTTAACATTGGGTTTACTGGTTTCAAGAAGCACTGTCTGATGTGAACCATGCCTCGCAGAAAAGAGCTCTCAGAAGACCTACGATCAAGAATTGTTGACTTGCATGAAGCTGGAAAGGGTTACAAAAGAATCTCCAAAAGCTTGATGACATGTGTCCACGGTAAGACAGACTGTCTACAAATGGAGAAGTTTAGCACTGTTGCTACTCTCCCTAGGCGTGTCGTCCTGTAAAAATGACTGCAAGAGCACAGTGCAGAATGCTGCATGAGGTAACGAAGAATCCCAGAGTGTCAGCTAAAGACCTACAGAAATCTCTGGCACATGCTAACATTTTTTGTTGACACATCTACAATAAGGAAAACATTAAACAAGAATGGAGTACATGGGAGGACACCACGGAGGAAGCCATTGCTGTCCAAAAAGAATATTGCAGCACGTTTGAAGTTTGCAAAAGAGCACCTGGATGTTCCATAGCACTACTAGCAAAATATACTGTGGACAGATGAAACCAAGATTGAGTTGTTTGGGAAGAGACATCACAACACTATGTGTGGACTGAAAAAAAGGCACAGCACACCAACATCAAAACCTCATCCCCACTGTAAAACATGGCGGAGGGAGCATCTGATGGTTACTGGGGTACTCTTTGCTGCCTCAGGGCCTGGACAGACAGTTGTCATTGATGTGAAAATGGGGTCTATTCCAGGGGCTTTCATCCAGTACCTGTTACCTTCTTTGTGGGCGTACTTTGAGACATCCTCCCAAGTGGCACTGTTTATCAAGACATTTTGCAGGAAAACGTACGACCATCTGTCCGCCAACTGAAGCTCCGCAGAGGATGGGTGATGCAACAGGACAATGACCCAAAGCATACAAGTAATTCAACAAAACAATGGCACTGACAACAGCACAAAGGTGAAATGCCTTCTTTAGATGGCCCAGCAGATATACCTCAGAAGATGAGAATGCAGACATACTACAAGAGATGGTTAGAGAGTGCAGACATACTACAGACATCCTTCTAGTCTAAGGTTCCTACACTGAAACCCATACATTTTGGGGTAGAGACAGGGCCAAAAACCTCCACCATTTTTTTGCAGGTCTGAGGAACTACAGGAAACGTTTGGTTGAGTTATTGCTGAAACCAGGGCAACACAGTAATTAAGTCCAAAGGTTCAGTACTTTTTTCTGCACTGGGAATGTTTACAGTGGTTTTATGGCTAGCAATTAAACCATGCAGCACATGGGTCATGGGTTTAGATC